CATAATTAAAGATAAAAAGCGGTTTGTGATGAGGCTAAGTTGAAGCGAATTTGCATAAGAGAGTGCCAAGCTAATTACATGAATACTTTAGCACGAAGAAAATCAGACTGTACATTCAGTGCTGGTTTAAGATCTTGAATGCAAAGCATTTCATTAACAAGGCAGTCAAATTTGTTCGTGCATTTCTTGATTACACTGAAGCGTGCTAAGAAATTGGTCGGAATAGCAGTGTTATGCAGTTTTTAAAGATTTTTTTATGCAATTTTTAAAGATTTTTCTTACTGTAATAAATCAAGCCTTAAATTGTTAATTTTAATTAGTTAGTTAATTAGTTACTGACAGTAACTTTTTTATTATAATCATTGTTTAAGATCTACATGTATATTTTTATTGATTCAGTTTTTTCTTTTTTATTCTGAAAGTTTCACAAGTATGGGACCTAACCAGGGCTCTTTTGTAAACCATCCAAATGGTTGTTTTTTATTTTTTCTTAAGTTTCAGAATGCAGTGCATGAAATTATTTGAAGTGCGTCAACAACTCAAATCTTTTCCATAATTATTTTCTCACCCATTGATGTTGAGAGAGTGGTTATAGCTAGTTTTGAACCCTTGGCAGTTATGCACTTTTCAAATGTTCCCGAGAAACACATTCATTTTTGTTCTGGACTTTACTTCAAAAATTATCGCTTTCAGTTGCTGTCAGCTTGCTATAAAATTACTACTCATTGGTTTGGTATTGTGCACATACCAATTTTTGCATCTCTAACAAGTTCAATCCTCCTGGCCTGTGGTGGGGTCTGGGTTGAAAAGAATAATCAACATGAATTTGGTTAGTCTTCGAGAAACAAACTTAATTCATTCTTTCCACCAGTGAGCACTAAAGGAAGCTGTGCAGACTCCCAATATGACAACATGCAAATAGGCTTAGTATGTACACTTCCTGGTCAGAATGTTTTGATCCATCATTATCAATTACCAGCCCTGTCCTGCTGCCTAATTTTTTTACATCTTGCTCTGAGGCTGTTGTAAAAATTTGATTCAGATGTAGGCTTGATCTTCACATTTGTAATAAACTTGTTACTTTATGATTGAATTGTATCAACAACAAGCAAGTTCACCCGTAACATCAAGGGCTGATCAAACATACTCAGCTGTACCAGGTGCTATAGGTTACGGCCCTTATTGACAGCCCTCCATCTCTGATTTCCAAAAAGGTCAGCCAACAACCCTGGACAAAGACAGGTTGCAACTACCTGATTTGATTGCGGTCACAACTGGTCGATGTTCTTTGCCACCTCATTAACCTTTGTATGTTATGTTTAGAAGTATAGTTTCTCGACATCTGACTCCTGTTGAGATGGGTTGTCTTACATTTTAAACAACATGACAGGCAAATCATGTCTACTGGAAATCCCTCAGTTTGATCAAATAACCTTTGAGAGACCCTGGATGTAAACCTCCTTTACACAATCAAAGCTTTTCACCTGGGAGTACAGGGGTTCCAGTAAGGGCCAGGCAATGGGCAACTTGACTGGACCTAAGGACAATTTTGCCCGCCTTGTTTGGCCATCTGGTTTTTCTTATAAAGAAGTTCATTTCAAAAAGTTTTGCCCGCCTGTGAAAACCAGTTGCCATCCTGCTGAAAACGTTAATGAAATCCCCGAAGTACATGTAGATTTATTCAGTATACATGTATGTATTCAACAGTACGATACATCTTATCAGAATTTTAATGCACTAGTGAGATGAAAAGATAAACAAACAAAAACATCTCTCGGTCAGTTGGCCTACCATGTGAAAATGAGCTGCTTGATCAGCTTCTGACCTTGGATCTTCTCTTGTTGTTGTTCTTGTCAAATGGCTAATAAAACAAAAAAAATTATATATTTAATTTTTCTATTATTAATCTGTTTAACAAATGTATATCTAAGATGTCTCAATCAGGCATCAAAAAAACTGCTATTAATATCTCAATAGATCACATGGTCAAATAATTAAAATTAAAGCATTGGTAGAGTTAATAGCACAGATCCCAACCAAAGGTAAACAAGAAGATCTGTTAGATCTTATAACCCCACTTTTAAAATTTAATTGTTTGCTTAGCACTACAGTTACAATGCAGTGCTCATTGCAAAGCAGTCCTTGATGATTTTTTTGTTACTGTAGACATCACATCATTTGATCAACACAAACTCTATTATTGCACCACCAGTTGTAGCCATTGTGAAATCTCCGATGACGTAATGGTCTTAATCTGGAACTTTCTTCGGCATATGTATGGGCATGAACGATATGAACGATACAATAATAGCACTATTAACAACAGCTCTCTTTCTTAAAAGTCATGATTAAATTTAATTGGTGTTTTCCACGAGTAAAGGGCTAGCAATTAGTAGTCACACGAGTCACATAATTCAAGACTTCCATTATCCACGGCTACCTCTAGTACGGTGGTTATTTCCCTACCAATGACATAATCCTTGCACGTTCTGACACGTTCTTTGCTTGGCTTCCAAATAGTTAATTTTCCTTCTGATCACCGAACTTGCTGCGATGAAACAGTCAAAGAATTTACTTCATTTGCCTCAAACCACAAGAAATACTCGCAAAATTGCAAATAAATTAATGACCGTCACTTCTGC